CTTCTTGGGCAGCAGCTGGTGCTGCTCTTCGCCGTGGCCCAGCTGGCCGTATTCTCCATGGCCCCAGCTCCAGACGGCGCCGCCAGCGGTGAGGGCGATGCTGTCGTTGCCTCCAGCCGATACAGCGACGACGCGCCGGCCAGCCAGCGCCTCGATCTTCTTCGGCAGTAGCTGGCGCTGCTCGTCGCCGTGGCCCAACCGGCCAGAGGCTCCCATGCCCCAGCTCCAGACGGCGCCGTCGGCGGTGATGGCGAGGTTGTGCGCGCCCCCAGCCGACACAGCGATGACGCGCTGGTCAGCCAACGCCTCGACCTTCTTGGGCAGCAGCTGCTTCTGCGCGTCGCCGTGGCCCAGCTTGCCAAAGCCTCCATTGCCCCAGCTCCAGACGGCGCCGTCGGCGGTGACAGCGATGCTATGGCAGGCCGCAGCCGACACAGCGAGGATGCGCTGGCCAGCGAAGGCCTCGATCTTCTTCGGCAGCAGCTGGTTCTGCTCGTCGCCATGGCCGGGCACGCCAAAGTATCCACAGCCCCAGCTCCAAACGTCTCCGTTGGCGGTTAGGGCGAGGCTGTGGCACTCTCCAGCCGAGACAGCGACGACGCGCTGGCTGGCAAAGGCCTCGATCTTCTTGGGCAGTAGCTGGCCCTGCTCGTCGCCGTGGCCCAGCTTGCCACGGTTTCCACCACAGCCCCAGCTCCAGACGGCTCCGTCAGCGGTGAGGGCGAGGCTGTGGTAAACTCCAGCCGACACGCTCACGGCGCGCTCGCCACCCAGCGCCGAGGGGAGGCGCGTCGGCGTGTTGAGCTGCGTCGCGAGCTCGCCGTGCCCGAGCAGTCCTGGGAGGTAGGACGGCGCGTTGCCGCACGACGAGAGCCGCCCCTCGCCGACGATGAAGACGCTGTGATACTGGCCTGCCGCCGCCCTCGCCGGCGGGTTGGCCTCGCGTAGCAGCGCCATAAAGCACGCCCACCGTACGGGGCAGCCCTCGCTAACGGGCTGCGCCGGCAGCTCGAAGCCGCGCTCTTGCGCCCACAAGCGGATGCCTTCTTCCGCGAGCGAGGCGTGGAAGAGAAGCGAGACGGCCGCGACGCGAGCGATGTCGACGGGGCCCTCGCAGCGAGAGAGGACGCGCACGAGGAGCTCCCTGGGGAGGTCGAGGAGGCGGGCGGGCGGCGGCGTGTCTGGCAGCGGAGCGGCGATCGCGCACCGGTATGACATATATGTTTTGTGCCAGGAAAAGAAAAGAGCGTTCGAGCCGTCGCGGGGCAATGTTGGCCCGCCCCTACCTACCTATGTTCCGATGTAAAAAACAAACTAAAATGTCGCAGTTCTCCTCCGGCCGGGAATGTACGTAGGTCGAAATTCTTCAACGCGCGTCAGTCCCGTGCCCAGTGTCGTGCGAGGGAGTTTTATTGTAAAATTCTTCAACGCGTCCGGTTACTTACTCGCCCGCCGTTTTGGTTGCCCCTCATTCATCGGCGCCATCACCCCGCTTACTTCGCCCCCGTACCGTCACACCGGGGACGGAGATGACTCGCGACTGTGCTCTCCGCCCGGTGGAAGCAGCCGATGGAGGGGAGGGGAGGAGGAAGTCGACGCGCGCAACGCCGCGGGCCGACTACGCGATGGCGGAGGGAAGGTTCCAGCGCAAGCCGCCCACCCGCAGGCGTTGCTGCACGCGCCGCGGCCGCTCAAGCCCTCTACGAGTGCACCCCCAACCTGCAACTGCAAGAAGCTGCCCAGGGGCTGCTATCACCGCAGCAGCTCAGCGCCTGGCGGCTTACCCAAGGCCTCTCCGGGCAGCGGAAGGCACAGCCCGCTGGTGATTGACGCCGCGCTCGTTGAGGAGGGTGAGGAGGACGTGGAGCACGAGGAGGACGCGGACGCGGCGACGCGGCCGGGAGCGGTGGCGGTGGCGGCGGCGGCGGAGAGGGCTGCAACCACGGCGGCGCAGACGGCAGCACCGACGGCCGTCTGCACGCCGACACGCTCAACCCTCTCACCCTCGCCGCTGATGACATCTTTTGCCTCGTCGCCGACTGCGGCAGCTCGAGCCGGCAGCGCAGCTTGCAGCTCAGGCTGCCCTGGCTGACATCAACTGCTCGGCCAACGCTGGCCATGTCGACGCGGTCCAGAGCCGCGACATGCAGCCCGCCGAGACGCTGTCCACGCGCTATGCGGCGTCTGTCGCCACGCTTGGCCGCGAGAGAGCGGAGCAGCTGCGGAGGTGCAGCCGAGGTTTAGCCTAGGTTTAGCCGAGGTTTAGCCGAGGTGCGGCCGAGGTGCAGCCGAGGTGCAGCCGAGGTACAGCCGAGGTGCAGCCGAGGTGCAGCCGCGAGGTGGTGCCGAGGTGCGGCCTAGTCGACGGCTGAGGTGCATCCGAGGTGCAGCCGAGGTCTAGCTTGCGGGTTCGGCAGGCTATCTAGAGACCTCGGCGTGCTCCGAATCCGGCCGTGCCACCTGGAGATCCCCGTGTCTTCCCGTCGCTGCTGAGTGTGATGTCCGGCTGTGGACCGGATATGCGCGGTGGCCCAATTCCGGCCCATCCGGTTGCCGGAGCGAGGGGTATGCGATCCGGCGCCGGGTCCCCGCCTGTCCTCCGAACGAGCACGATCCGAGGCATTCTGGGGGACGGTCGCGGCGACCCACCGGCCTGGCCCTGCGACTCCGCTGTTGCTGCTGCGTCGGTCGCTGCCGTTGAGCGTTGTGTCTCCATCAGTGGCCGCGTCGCACGCTGGATGACGTCCGAAGGGGTCTGACTCCAGATCTCTGCAGCACTCTCAGCACTCTACTCTACTCTACTTTTCTACCTACAACTCTGTCACCCCTCCTCACATCCCAATAATCACCTCCTCCTCCCCCTCCTCCCCCACTACCTCCACCTCCACCTCCAAACACAACCACCTTTCACATATCTCCAACTCCTCCCTCCAACCACGACACCACAGCACCACACACACAACACATTCCCTTCACACTTTCTTCATCTGTCTCACAAAAACATCATCTCAACCAACATCCAACAACACCTCAGGAAGAAGCTCGCGCCGCTCGACGTCATCGACACGATCGTCGACACTGACTGCGTCACGAACACCTCGCAGCTCCGCCTCAACCTCGTCCAACGGATTGCCTGCGCAAAGACCAAGTACATTGCCGGCATCACGCCGCCCAATGTCGCGTGCGACGCTCTCGAGTTTGCGCACAACCGCATCCGCAAGTCCTTTGAGAGCATTGCTCGCGCCGACGCCTCGCCCCAGGCGCTCCGCGACCTCGCGTGGCTCCAGGCGCAGCTGCCGACCGAGATGGGCGGGTGCAACATCGACACCGCCTTCTCGCGCGCCGACAGCGACTTCTCCATGTCGCTCCTCAAGAACTGGCGCACCCTCGTCGCCCACAACCCCGACTTCGCCCACGATGAGGGAGGTGCGTCCAAGTACCCCGCCATCGCCGCAGCTATCGCCACCTACGAGTCCGCCCTCTCGGACTGGAAGGAGGTGTGCGAGAAGCGCGCCGCGCGCGCACTGTGTGGAACAGGCTAGCTCAAGGTTGCGTTAGATTGTCAATGGAGAATGGCCGCGTTCTCGCCCCTTTCCTGTCCGCGTGGGTCTCAGAGGACGAATGAGCACCGGACCTTCGAGGACATCAAAGTCGGCCGCGCCCCACGGCTATCCCGCCGGCTCTCGAGTGTCGCAGCGCGACGCGCTTCACCCCTCGACTCCGCGCTGCGAGTCGATTGGGAGACGACGCTCGGCCACTGCCAACTCCACCCTGACGTGACGCACATGCGCCGAGTGTCCCCCCCGAGGGTGTCCTTGTATAGTATAGTTGGTTGCGAGTTAAAAAAAGCCCGTTCCGCACCCGCAGCCAGCACCAGTACACATGCCGTTCTGGTGCCCCTCGGCTGGCCAGAGGACGGCTCACAATGCAAAATCGGAAAGACATCACGAGGGGCCGTATAAACGGCGCCGCAGCGGCCCGGGACACTAACAGTGAGTTGCTGCCACTCGCCCGGCCTCCTCCCCCTCGGGGTCGCCCGGAAAGTGGGCTTGCGCACCGGCGCCCCCCCCAGCACGCCGACCCGAGGTGTACCCTCCGGCCACCTGGGAGGGGAGCGCTCTCCCTTTTTGGCCCATTGGCTTCACCATGATGGATACGGAGGTGGCCAGCCCTTGGTTGTGCACCTGCGGCGCGAAGAGGAGGTGATCTCGGCGGACGACGGCCATGCCGAGAGCGGGTCCAGCGCGGAAGAGGGTGCGCAGCGCGTCGCGGCCGCGCGCTTGGGAGCCGGGGGGATGGCCGGAGGGGGTGGGACGCCTGCATGTCCTCGAAGCTCCCATCCGCATACGCAAGCCGAGCCGCGAACGGCGGGGAGGGAGTTTTGGAGGGTCAGCCAAGGACGCGCATGGCGAGTGACAAACGAACGCAACCTGCCCCGTAGCTGGTTTCTCATCGTGCGACAAAAACAAGTACTACACCGTCCGCGGCGGCTACCTGACTGAGTTCTACCCCAAGAGCGTCCCGCTCCCCGAGCCCGAGTCCCTTCCAGCTACCGACGCGATTCTCAATGGCACTTGCAAATCCACGTACCCGCGGCCGCGGGCGCTGTGGCCAGAGCAGTGCTGCTGTCGCCCGCCAAATCGACCCGGCTCTCGACCACTCTGGCGGCTGGATCGACTCCATCATTGACCGGATTGCCTCGCGCTCATCGAGGTGGCAAGCTCCCATCGACGACAATAATGGCGACTTTGAGGCTGCCGCGCTCGCGGAGCCAGATCCCGACAGGGAGGGGTCGGGGCGCTGCGGGGGCGAGCGCGAGGCGGTGCGGGCCTCCTGGGCCACCCGAGAGGCTTCAGCATCTGGGTGCGGCGGCGGCGGGAGGGCGGGCCGGTTGCGGTCGGTAGGAGCTGGGAGGCATTCGCCTCGCGCGGTGGCGGTGGCAGCCGCGCGAGAGAAGGGCCGGCGGGGAGCTCGGAGGCGGTGGCCTCTGAGACAGGGCGATGGCGATGGCGGAAATGCGAGAGCGTGTGGGCAATGATCCCCATCCCACAGTGGCCAGGGTCCCCTCGAGCAGGCCGCTCGCGGCGCGGCTGTGGCCGGCGGGGCTGAGACGCGAGTTTGTCGAGGGACTGCTCGAGGGCACGGTTGGCGGCTTCCTCTGCAAGAGCAGTTGCGAGATGGTCGTCCCCATCAGACGGAGGGTCGTCGGAAGAGTCATCACCCGAGGAGGTGTCCTCGGGGGAGCCGTCGGTGGGTGGCGCGTCTTTGTAGAGGAGCGGTTCGCGCGCGGTGGTGGCG